CATCCATGCTCTCCCCCACACCCCGCAAAGCACACCCGACTCAGAGAGAACAAATACTACCCACCCCTTCGGAAGCAAAATACCAACCCACCCAGGGCCTCCCCCAGGCCCCGACAACGTCCCCCTCCCCTTCCCCCCCCTTGCCTCCCCCCGCCCCCCACCCCTGCCCAACCACCGAATTTACTCAACCCCATGTTGCCGCCCCCTTCTGTATCGTGATGCCCACCGTGCTGCAAGCCTCTTGACGGCACCCATGACGCTTCACCTCCAATCACCATCAGCTAGATGCGCCTCAAAAGACTTCACTCTTCCGTGGTCGACTCAGCGTTCGATTGTTTTGAAAGTCCAAGTCCATGTCATTTTATCATTTCATCATTTTATCATTTCATCATTTTATCCATCAATCAAATTGCATCAATGTGTCATATTGTCAACCACCAACAACGACAAGTCAGTGATCAGCCGTGAGACACGTCAGAAGCCATGAGAAATGGTCGTCTTCTTTCGTTCGTTCGTTCGTTCGTTCCTTCTTTGTTTATTTCTGGCTTTGCCTCCTCTCTCTCCCTTCTTGCTTTCCTCTTCCTTCTTTCCTATTTCTTCCCCTCCGTTCTCCCTTGTTTATTTCCTTTCCACCTTTTCCTTCTTGCTTTGTTTCTTTCTGTCCCTCCATTCTCCCCTCTTTCTGTCTTTTCCTTCTTGCTTTGTTTCTTTCTGTCCCTCATTCCCCCCTCTTTCTGTCCTTTCAACATTTATTTCATTCGTTCTTTCCTTCTTTCCGTTTTTCTTTCCTTTTTTCTTTCCTTCTTTCTTCTCTCTTTTCCTTTTTTCTTTATCTGTTTCTTCCACCCCTTCTTTCTTCTTCTTCCTCTCTCTCTCTCTCTCTCTCTCCTGTCTCTTATACACATCTAGATGTGTATAAGAGACAGGGATAGCATGTTTAGTATTTGTTTACTCTTTTTATTCTTCAGAGAATGAAGGATAGACCCAACCATAGTATGTTAAACATTTTCCCACAGAGTCCCCATTGTTGTAACTTGTAGGCGCTTTGAAAATTCTTTGTGGTGTCAATTTGTGCGTGTTGCGGCCTTCGCCAAAGGTTCCCTGTGTTTACATGCAGCACCTTCGAGATGTGCCAAATACTCATGGCCTGTTTGCTCGAAGTGCCTACAACACTATATGAAGGAGGACGGCTGCGTTCAGGATGCATGTGTGTCTGTGTTCGCTGGTGGTGACACACATTCTTGTCGTTGCTCCCTGGCTCTTGACGGTGGTGTGAACCCACCGTCTGTGCAGTGTAACTTGTGGCATGAGTGGTTGATCATCTGATTCATCTCCTTTGGTCTGTGTTGCCCTGCCGCTGAGCCGCCTATCCACTCGCCTGGCATTGCTGTGACGCTTGCCCACTTGCCCGCTTGCCCGCTTGCCCGCTTGCCTTGCGGTCCTGCCTTCTTTCCCAGTTGGCCGCCAAATGGCATCCACCCTCCACTTTCTTGCTTCGTTGCCTTGCTGCCTGCCTGCCTACTTGCTGGATTGTGGGCCTGGCTGCTACTTAGCTTGCTGTATTGTTACCGGTGGCCTTGCTGCCTGCCTGGTTGCCTTGATGCATGCCTGACCCCAGGCCCACCCGCTCGCCCTCTGCTTTGTCGCTGCCTCGTTTGCCTTGCTGCTTTTGTGGTCACCTGCCTGGCTGTCCGCCCGTAACAGGGATTGAAGTAGACTATGACTCAAAGCATCGATACGCGGACTCTCCAGACTGTTGAGAATTCAGCCCCCTGATGAGTCAGTGAGAGTCTGATTAAACATTATGTTCTTATCCATATTGTTTTCTTTTCTCTGTTCTTTTTCTGCTCATGATCCGGGTCGTATTTTCCAACTTTTATGTGAGAATCATCATGATGGTCATCAGCACATCCTTGACGAGTGGAAGCTCAGAGCATTTTGTGTTGGAGGTGCAAACACACACACACACATTATCATTAGACACACGGGGCCACGCACACGCACACACACACATCCTCGTTTGTTGTCCTCTTCTCCCTCTCTGCCTACGGTTTACCGGGCAGCTCTGTTTGACGTAGTACACCTTTCTTTGTTTCATGGGTGTTTTGCTGGCTTGTGATAGGTTGTGAACCAACAGTCTGTAGAGTTTTCCATCTGGTGTGGGTGAGTGATAGTCTGCTTTGATTTTCGTCAAGGGTGACCTTGAGGGCAGTGGTTGGTGCCCACCTCAAGGTATCAGTTGTCGGGCAGTCGTTGATGCTTAACCACAACCGGGGTTACGGTGGATTATCACTTACAGTGTGCTATGGAAGTCGTGGTATATATCATCAAACAGAACTGCCCGGTAAACCGTAGGCAGAGAGGGAGCGAGAACAACAAACGAGGGACTGTGACAAACTGTTTCATCGGAGTTTCACTGACTCATCACGAGGCTGAGCCCTCAACAGCCTGCAGCATCCCCTAACTGATTACATCGTAAGTGATAATCCACCTTAACCCCGTTTTTGGTTAAGCATCAATGATGCCCGTGGGCACCAAACACTGCCCTCGAGGTACCTGTGACCAAAATCAAAGCATATAATGTGTATAATATATGTATGTGAGTGCAAGTGCACCGCTCTGGCGGCAGACTCGTGCGTGGGCACACTTGCATCTTCTACTCTATTCCCTATCTTTACTTTTTTCGTTTTATGGATGGTTTGTGAT